ACTCATCTTTGGACATTATCTAACGTGTAGTTGTTATAAATTAACAGAAGCGCATCAAAGAAGGAAGTTCCCTCTGGACCTAGGATAGACCCGAAGGATGGCTTTCGTAAACATGTAATTAACTGGGACCAGGAAGGAGAGAGGAGACGAGCAGTCTTCCAGCCAGTTTGCCACATGGAGTGACAAGGACCGTTATCAAGAATCCTTCCTGGTGACCTAGGAGTGATCACGTCCCATCTAAGAACCAAATCTGATGTGGTTCTTTCCAGGAGATTCCTCCCCAGGAAATCATGGACGTGTGTGTTTTGCAGCAGCTAAAAGCTTTACTTCCTTCCAAGAGAAATAACTGACACCCATATCGTGTCAACACTCGCAGGCCCTGGTTGAAAGAAGCATCCTCAGAGCCCAGGACTGGCCCTGGGCTGTGGTTCCCGCTGGCTCTCCATAGGGGAAGGAAGCCCACACCACCCTAGAAAAGCACCTTCCCTTGAATATGTTTTCTCACAAATGATGGATAAAAATTTAAGCCCCCGAACAAGCTGTCCAGTAGCTTATCTGTTTTGCTAAGTAGCGTCCAAAAACACTGAAGTCATAAGCCTTGTTTGAGCCAAGAGGATACAGTAATGACTGATCCCTGGAATTCTCTATACTTCCAAACACTTGCCCGCAACAATACGTCCATTCATTCCGATGAGCGCGTTTTCCCCATGACCGGTAGAGCTGAACGTTCTCCAGAGCTTGCAGCCCAAGTCACCGTGGGGTAGCTGTACCAGTCAAGGTCCTCTGGCCTGTGGCTCCAGCTCTCAGCTGCTGGCTCGCTGCCTGCCCCCTCTGGCTCCCCCAGCTTTCTGCTAATCAATGGAATTAAATGGAACGTCTGTCATATTGAGGAATCAGAATTTTTCATGTGAAGATCTGCTTTCCTGTTTTCTTGCCAACACAACACAGGGCCTGTCCCTAGTCGTTTTTCATGCCAGGATATGATGGAAAGGAAGTGACCCTGAAAACCGGTGCCTGGCCGGCTTCGGGTGGCTTTGCTTTTTAGCATGTGACTGGCCACACATCACATCAGCCTCCCTCATCCTTTACACCCAGAAGACTCTCTCCGCGGTTCTTTCAGGTGTATGTTTTCAAAAGAGTGGGGTGCTAGCTCCTGTGTCTCCCATGAGGGCAGATCTTTTCGCTGCGGCCCCGGCCGGTATATCAAGCCGTGGCTCACTGCCTTTTGCAGGCTGATCACCCCTCAGGAGGTCTCCGAGTGGAGTGAGCCGGCAGGATTCTGCAGCGCTGCGGGACCGCGCGCTTAGGGCCTGTCACGTGCCCAGGGCACTCCCTGAGTGTGAGATGGCTGCCCCAGCACCGTCTCTGCTGAGCCGAGCCATGTGTTACTAGGTACGTGGCTTTCCCATGCAGCCCGTTTCTCCATCCCTGTAATAAGGATCGTAAAACCTTTAACACCTCACCCGACCAGCAGGAAGCATTCTGTACGAATAGCCGTCATCGTCGTCGTCGTCACCATCATCATCGTGAGATGGCTCTTGCCGGCGCTTTGATTGTGTGATCAGGACTGGTCACCTCCTGACTGCTCTCCTCCCCAGCACCTTGCACCAGCACGCCTAGATCTTCTGCGGAGATCTGCCGTCTCCAGAGAGGCAGCCCTCATGTCATAACTCCTCCTCGGCCCAAACAGCCTTACTCTGGCTATAAATAAAAATCCCTGCCGCCGAGTGCAGCAGCAAAGCCGGGCACCAGCCAGACCCTAAGATAAGCTCCAGGCTGTGGTGCAGGGGTGTTTCTGCTCAGCGGCCAGCCCTGCTTTCTCCCTGCCAGTGTGAATAAATATGATCTTAAAGGGCCTGGAAACATTTCTCTGGGGAGTCGGTGGAGACCGGGCTTGTTGACCGTGGTATGGGAATGAGTGTGCAGGGCCGCCGGAGGGACCATGTCTCCCCGCCCACTGGAAGGTGATTTTCCGGCTTGGCTCCTGTCCCAGCAGGACTGCATAGCTTGAATACCAGAGCTGCCGCAGCCTTGTTGCAGAGGGCGGCCTGGACGCTTTGTCTGAGAGACGGGCATCTTCCTTCCCTTTTCCTTGGTGGCTGCCCGCTCCCCTGCAGTCTGCACCCTTGGTGGCCTCCCCAGCCTCCCGCTTCGGACCCGCACCTGCACAGCGAGGGAAGCTCGTCCACTACTGTCCACACCCGCAGTCGATGCTCTGCTGAGTCAGGTGATACTCTAGGCACTTCAGGGAATAACATTAGAATCTATTCCTAAGTATTCCCGCATTCAGTAAATATGTATTGAGTTAATTAATTAAGTGCCTTGGCTCTGTTTTTAGAGGAGTTCCTGAGGGTATTTTGGAGGGCAGGAGAGGCTAGCTGACATTGATGGCTTGTCACACAGCGGGACTTAATGGGGCGTCTCAGTAAATCCACACAGAGACCCGGTAAGAGAAGAACTGTTGTTTTCATCCCCATTTTAAAGAGGAAGTGACTGAGGCTCGAGAACTTACTTCACCTGCCCAAGGTCACCCAGGTAGAGAGAGAGCCCAGGACCCAAGCCCAGGTCTGTGTGACTTGAGAATGTGCCCTCTAGGCAATTCTTCCGCCTCCCAGAAAAGGCACCGCCCTGCGTGTGCGTGTAAGTGGGTGCTTGGTTACTGCAGGGCTCACTTAAGTGCTCAACACATTTACATGGGGCATGGACAAGAGGGGGCATCAGTGAGGACGTGTCAGGACTCCAGAGTTGGCATTTGCCTTACTTCGTTCAGGCTGCTGTAGCAAAATACCAGAGACTGGATGGCTTATAATAAGTTTATTTCTCACAGTTCTGGAGGCTGGAAGTCCAAGATCAGGGTGCAGCATGGTTAGGTGAGGGCCCTCTTCCTGGTCACAGATTTTTCGTTGTCCTCACGTGGCAGAAGGGTGAGGCATCCCCCTGGAGCCTCTTTTCCGTGGCACAGATCCCATCATCCCTGGGGGTTAGGATTTCAACATAAGAATTTCGGGGGACGCAGACATCCCGACCATAGCAGCATTGACCATGAATCGTAAACTAGATGGAGTCACGGCCAAGGGAGAGGTATCTGTTAGCATATCTCATAGCAGCACCTGCGTGCTGGGAGTGAGCATCCCACAGGCCCGGGGACCGGACTCCTGCGTGAGACCTCAGCCACTGCCTGAAACAGGCTGGCCTCCCAGGACCGGGCTGTCCCATCCCTCCATCCCTTGGCTGGTGCATTTCACTCAAGGTCTTCTCTGCGCACCTTTCCAGCCAGTGAGAGAGCCTCACTGTGAGGGGAGCATCCTCCAGAGGTGAAACGGAGAGTCCCCAAAGCCAAACCCGTCACCCCTCTGCCATCCCCAGCAAGGCCAGGCCCGGATGGCTGCCCTGAGAGGCCAGGTGAAACATGGCACCTGCCGGGGGAGGGCACTGTGGATGCTCAGGCCCCACAGCCCTCAGTGGGGAGAGCAGCCGAGCCAGGGGTCCACCACCCCCAGCTTCTCTCAAAAGAAGGGATGTGGATGAATCGGAACTGGAAGGAATCCAAGCCTTTGGTGTTGGTACAGTACTTCCACTAATTCACCTGCCTGTGTCCAAGGGTCGGCCTTGAGTTTGTAAGTTAGATGGGGAATGAAATGTGTAAAGATGCGTCGGTTCCCAGGCAGTATCCTGGGTCTGACATAAACCAGCAGCCAGTGGGGCTCATGGGGTGAGAGGGCCTTGGCCTCACCAAGGAGGGGGGAGGAGCTCTAGACTGATCCGCACAGCCTAGGAGGGCAGGGCGGGCAGCAGGGGGACAGAGGGAGGCTGTGCCTGTCCCTTGAGTGGCAGCAGCTCTCGGTCCAGTTAACCTGTAAGCACGTAGCTTCGCAAAAACGCTTAAGGGTAGAGTGGCTTTGATCTCTGACTAGTTTAAAACTTCATTTCTTCTTCCTCCTTCTTGGCCGTGGGTTTCAGAACTCCTGAATTTTGTACCAAAATGCAAAGGACATTTGAGTGAGCAGTGTGCATGTTTGTGCTGGGTGGGCTGTTGTCAGGTTCCAGCACCTGTGGTGGGAGGTGAGCCTGGCAGGGACTTCAGATTCAGGCCCTACCTCAGTCTGCTCCACGTTTGGCAGGTGTCGGCAGACCCTTTGCAGGACGTGATGACACTATGGGATTCTTGTCCCAAAGCTCGTCCATCTGTCCTGCCGCAGCAGAGCCCAGGCCCGAGTGCGCTCACGGGCCCTAAGGAGCTGTGGGCATCTGCTGTCGTGCCCCAGCCTGACCTCGGGCTTTTCTCTCACGATGAGAATCTCGAAGAATGTAGCCTGGCGGTTCTAAGGTAGCGTCAGAGGCATTGCACTTCATTTGTTAAAAAAGAAAGAAAAAAGTTTAGGCAGAAAGGGAAGTGAATTCAGAAATTTTTAGCATTTTGGTAGCACAGTTCTTTCAACCATTTTTTAAGGCTTATGCCCTTCCCTTCCAAAAGGATTTGAAGTGATGACAACATTTAAAAGGCTGCAGTGTTTGACTTCCAAGGAATAAAACCAGAGAGATTCAACCAAAAAACTCAAAATAAGTAAACATGACCAGGTGTCTGACTGCACGCACTGAATTTAGCCACCAGGTTCCTGGAAGGACAAGAGGCATAGATGGGGTTGCGAGGGTTTCATTTTCTGACAAAGAGGACGGGACCCCCATACGGTGGGGGGTGGCTTGCTCTCCTTTGGGGGTACCCGCATCCTGCCCCTGAGGACAGGGTAGACACTGCCCCTTAGACACTGAGGACAGCACTGGTCAGTCTTCAGGCCCTTCTCAAGGGACCCGTGCCAGGGTGGGGGGACCTCAGGCCAGAGGAGCACGGGGGTGGTTTGGCCTGAGTGGTGGTCCTGGTTAGAATGACTGTGAACGGCCTGTCACGGCTCAGCTGAGTTAATCTAATTACTTTTTCTTTTGTCTGTTTTCTTCTTCCCATCCTCTCGTGTTCGTGTCTGTGTTCCACTCTGACTCTGTAGTATAAATCTGTGTTTAGGTCGTACTCCCAGGATTTCGTGCCTCACAGCCAAGCTTCCATCCAGCCTTTCCTCCCGTCTACCTCCTCTTCCTCTCCACATTTCCCACCTGTCCACCAGTCTCAGAGCTCTGATTTAGCGGTGCCAACCGTAGCCAGTCCGCCTCCCAGCGCCTTGGACGGGCCTCTTTCATCTTCTCAGGAGAGCAGCTTTCATGGGAACACTGTCTGCCTTCCTTCCGAAACCTCTTTCACTGACTCGCCCCAGACGCCTTCGGTGAGAACTCAACACACACACGCCTCCCCGTGGGGCTGCGCCTTCTGAGAAAGCCTCCGCCCTCACAAGCGGTCAAGTCTGTTGCTGGTGTGGGCCCAGTCGCGGCGTGGCTGGACTGAGGGGTGCACAGGTCACCAGGTGAAATCGTAGCCCATCTGTTTCCTTCTCTGCAAAGTTCCCATCAAACTAGGGATCTCATTTTCCACAAATGGGTTAGTGACCATTTAGAGACAACAGATTGTCATAAGCATAAGATAGCAAATACTACTGGTTTTCTGTGTGATTGGTTGTTTCTAGAGAAAGGTGCAGAGATCTCCGACAGCTCAGAAGGCAGTTGCGTGTTTAGTTGCCGAGGTGCTGAGGGTGGAGGGCCTCTTTGCTGTGCTGCGAGATGGGCCGCAGCGCTTCATCCGGGCACCGGGAAGTGCTGCCGTGCGCGTGGGCGAGGACATGACAGGCAGAGGGGCAGAGCAAGTGCAGGCACGTGCAGCCAGCTGCAGCGTGGAGCTGTCTTGATGTGTTGCCTCCCTCTCCATGTTTGGCCCCAGCACGGCAGAGTGGGGAGGTGTACACCTCCACCAGGACAGCCTGAGTGGCCCTTGACGCCTTTGGGGAAGCTCCAGCAGGAAACGTGGGTCCCCTCTGACAGGGGACAGGAGGTGGCAGAAGCAGCTTTGTTCCCTGACCCTGGGAAGGCATCCCCGGAGAACGGAGGGCACGCCGCCGCCGCCATCCTCTCCTCCGGTCAGGGCCAGCCCCGTGGCGGGGGGCCGTCACATGTGCGTTCCCTCTCGTCCTGTCTCCCCCAGAGCGAACGCGCCAGTGAGGGTGAATCCGTCAGTCTGTATGCCTCTGGCCAGAGCAGCGAGGAGTAAGTAACCGCGGGCTGCCTTGTGCCCGCGGCCTAGCCTGGCAGGGGTCAGGCCCTGCTTCTGTCTGGCTGAGCCTCCCGGTCACCAGCAGCCATCCTGCGTGAGACCTCAGCCACTGCCCGAGCCAGGGGTCGGCTCGGCTCCGCGGGGAGAGGACAGGGCTTCCAGTGGAGCCTCCTTTGCTTTCGCTTCCGCGGTGTGCTGCTCCTCCAGCCTGGCCGGTGGGCCATCTGGGGATCACGGGAGCAGCCTGGCCTTGGCCCTGGCCACGTGTCCAGTTGCTCTCAGGGATTTCTTTCTACCCCATCTTCTGGTGTTGGGGCCCGTCTTCTGTTCCTTCCCCAGAGGCAGGGACTCTCTCCCACACTGAGCCTTCCAAGCCGACATCCCCCTCCCACCCAGCAAGCTCCAGGCCTACAGTCCCTGCTTCAAGGAACCTGGTCAGTCCGCCAGGCCTCCCTCCTGTCGTGGTTGCCCTTGTTTTACTGCCCTCCCAGCGCCAGACGGTCAAGGTACAGTGGTTCTGTGAAGCAGTCAGCTTTCCAGGGTTTGCTGCGGCAACACCTGAGCAACTGCAAAACGTTCGAAACGAACCCTCCCACCGTCCCTGGAGGGGGCGCCGTGAGGACTCCGTCCTTCTCAGGGGCCAGCTCAAGGGGCCCAGTCCATTAAAAGCATGCTCACTCTCGTTAGGATGGCCCCCTAAGGGGGCCCCCAGAGCACCTAGATATCCACGTGAGGCAAGCCCCACTTCAGGTATTAGCATGTTGTAGAACACTGTGGAATTTTCACTCCAGTGGGTTCAGCGCCCTCCTTGGGAGGTAAGCTGTTTGTCGCCTGGTGTTCCCACCTCACCTGTCCCCTCTGGTGACCTCCCCCACCATCATCCGATTCAGCCTCTGCACACGGAATCCATTCCAGGCTGGCCTTCCCGCGCTCTCCCTCCACCTGGGACCCCGTGCGCTGCCGCGGAGTCCTCTGTGAGGGCGCGCCGCTTCTTCATACTCCCCCCACCCCACCCCGTGCTCTGTTGTGGCCTCGGTGGCAGACCAGGGATGCCGGGGGGCCGTGTCGTCATTGAGTGGGTGGGCCCAGGTTCCTAGGAAGAAGCAAGGCTGCTGGAGGACGGAGGGGTTGCCTTTGTGCACTAAAGCAGCTAGGCCCTTGGGAAGCATAGCTGTGGTGCTGAGGGAGAGCTGTGACTGGGAAGCTGGCGGAGGCCTGCTGCACACCTGCAGGGCATAGCGGGCAGGGCCACAGTCTTCCAGCTCAGGGGGTCTGGGGCCGGGCCCTTCACTTCCCACAGCCTCTTTTTCTTTGTGTGACCGGGTATGGTGATGTCGGCCAGCAGGTAGGGTGTTGGTCAGGGCCAGGTGAGGAAAGGCACGCGCAGCGCCTCGCGGAGCTTAGCTGAGTGGTAGCTCCTGTGACGGTCCTTTCTTCCAGCAGGTGGTCGGGATGGCTTCCTCTAGGTCGGCAGCTGACAAAGGTTATAAGTAGTGGTGCTTTTCACTCCCCCCAGAGGAAAGATGCTAGTCTGAAGAGGGCCGGTGCTTCCTTTGTAATGGACCGCGGTCACGGTTGACGTGTTTACATCTCAAGTTCCTTAGGAACTTGCACTCAAAAGCCACTTGCAGGCAGGAATGCTGGGAAGCAGAGCAGCCCAGCGGGGGGCACCTGTCACACACCCAGCACTGCCTTCTCTTTTCAGGAATCACCAACTTCGAAGGACGGACATCCCAGAGATGCCTCGTCGGCCGGCAGTGCACCTGGGAAGGAAAGCAGGGACGGCGGGGACAGGTAGGAAGTTACCCACGTGGAGCCGGGTGCCCTGAAAGCATCACGTCTCCTGCGGCAAGCACGCCAGGCCTGCTGGGGCTTTATGTTTACACTTGTGCTGAGCCAGATGTGTTTTTTACAAAGTGAAGGTTTGTAGCAACCCTGCATCAAGCAAGTCCGTAAGCGTCACCTTTCCAACAGCGTTTGTTCACTTCATGTATCTGGTAGTTCTCCCAGGATTTCAAATTTTTTCATTATTATTATATTTGTTATGACGATCGGTGATCTTTGAGGTTATGATTGTAATTGTTTGGGGGCACCACAAACCATGCCCGTATAAGATGGCAAACAATTGATAAACATTGTGTGTGTTCTGACTGCTCTACCAAATGGCTGTTCCCCCATCTCCCTCCCTCTCAGGCCTCCCTGTTCCCTGAGTATTGAAGTTAGGCTAGTTAATAACCACACAATGGCCCCTAAGTGTTCAAGCGAAAGGAAGAGTCACACATCTCTCACATTTGTTTTTTGTCTGTGTTGGGTCTTCGTCGCTGCGCGCGGGCTTTCTCTAGTTGTGGCGAGCGGAGACTACTCTTCGTTGCGGTGTGCAGGCTTCTCATTGCGGTGGCATTTCGTTGTGGAGCGTGGGCTCTAGGCACGCAGGCTTCAGTAGTTGCAGCACGTGGGCTCTAGAGCGCAGGCTCAGTAGTTGTGGTGCACGGGCTTAGTTGCTCAGCAGCATGTGGGATCTTCCCGGACCAGGGCTCGAACCTGTGTCCCCTGCATTGGCAGGCGGGTTCTCAACCACTGCACCACCAGGGAAAGTCCCTCTCACTTTAAATCAAAAGCTAGAAATGAAGCTTACTGAGGAGGGCATGTTGAAAGCCAGGAGAGGCCTAAAGCTAGGCCTCTTGTACCAGCCAAACAAGTTGGTTAGCCAAGGTGTGAAGGCAAAGGAAAAGTTCTTGAAAATTAAAAGTGCTGCTCCAGTGATCACACAAATGATAAGAAAGCAAAACAGCCTTATTGCTGGTATGGAGAAAGTTCGAGTGGCCTGGATAGAAGATCAGAGCAGCCCAACGTTCCCTTAAGCCAAAGCCTCATCCAGGGCAAGGTCGTAACGCTCTTCAATTCTGTGAAGGCTGAGAGAGGTGAGGAAGCTGCAGAAGAAAAGTCTGAAGCTGACAGACGTTGGCTGAAGAGGTTTAAGGAGAGAAGCCGTCTCGTAACGTCGAAGTGCCAGGTGAAGCAGCAAGTGCTGATGGAGAAGCTGCAGCAAGTTATCCGGAAGATCTAGCTGAGATCGTTCATGAAGGTGCCACACACCACTACACAACAGATATGCAATGTAGACAAAACAGACTCTACAGGCAAAAGACACCATCCGGGACTTTCATAGCCAGAGAGGAGAAGTCAATGCCTGGCTTCAAAGGACAGGCTGACTCTCTCGTTAGGGGCTAATGCAGCTGGCGACTGTAAGTTGAAGTCAGTGCTCATTTACCATTCCCAGAATCCCAGGGCCCATAAGAATAATGCTATATCTACTCTGCCTGTGCTCTATAAATGGAACAACAAAGCCTGGATGACAGCACATCTGTTTACAACATGGCTTACTGAATATTTCAAGCCCACTGTTGAGACCTACTGCTCAGAAAAAAAGATTCCTTTAAAAATAGTACTGCTCATGGTTAATGAACCTGGTCACCCAAGAGCTCTGATGGAGATGATATACAATGAGATCAGTGTTGTTTCCTTGCCTGATAACACAGCATCCGTTCTGCAGCCCCTGGATCAAGGAGGAATTTCAACTCTCAAGTCTTATTACTTAAAAAATACATTTTGTAAGGCTATCACTACCATAATTGGTGATTCCTCTCATGGATCTGGCAAAGTAAATTGAATCCCTTCCGGAAAGGACTCACCATTCTATATGCCATTAAGAACATTCATGATTCACGGGAAGAGATCAAAATATCAACGTTAACGAGAGTTTGGAAGAAGTTGATTCCAACCTTCCTGGATGACTTTGAGGGGTTCAAGACTTTAGTGGGAAAAGTCACTGCAGATGTGGTAGAAATAGCAAGAGAACTAGAATGAGAAGTGGAGCCCGAAGATGTGACTGAATTGCTGCAAGCTCATGATAAAACTGTAACAGAGGAGGAGTTGCTTCTTACCGATGAGCAAAGGAAGTGATGTCTTGAGATGGAATCTACTCCCGGTGAAGAGGCAGTGAAGATTATTGAAATGACAACAACGGATTTAGAATATTAGCGGCAGGGTTTGAGAGGACTGGCTCCAATTTTGGAAGAATTTCCACTGTGAGTAAAATGCTAGCAAACAGCATCGCCTGCTCCAGAGAAGAGTGTTTGTGAGAGGAGAGCCAGTTGGTGCGGCAGACTCCACTGCGGTCTTGTCTTAAGAAATCGCTGCAGCCCCAGCCTGATCAGTCAGCAGCCGCCAGCATCGAGGCAGGCCCTCCAGCCCCAGAAAGATTACAGCTCACCAGTGGCTCAGACGGGGGTTAGCATTTTTTTTAGCAATAAAGTATTTTTTAATTAAGGTGTATGAACACTTTTTAAATTTTTATTGATTGATCGATTTTTAAGATTTAATTTAATTTTTATTTTTTTGGGCTGCGTTGGGTCTCCATTGCTGCGTGCGGGCTTTCTCTAGTTGCGGCGAGCGGGTTGCTACTCTCGGTTGCGGTGCGCGGGCTTCTCATTGCGGTGGCTTCTCTTGTTGCAGAGCACGGGCTCTAGGCACGCGGGTTTCAGTAGGTGTGGCTTGCGGGCTCTAGAGCTCAGGCTCAGAAGTTGTGTCTCGTGGGCTCTAGAGCGCAGGCTCAGTAGTTGTGGCGCACGGGCTTAGTTGCATGTGGGATCTTCCCAGACCAGGGCTCGAACCCGTGTCCCCTGCATTGGCAGATGGATTCTTATCCACTGCGCCACGAGGGATGTCCCTACTGTTTTTTTAGACATAATGCTATTGCACACTTAACAGATTACAGTATAGTATAAGTATGCCTTTTATATGCACTGGGAAAAGAAAAAAATTCATGTGAATCACTTTATTGTGTTATTTGCTTTATTGCAGTGGCTGGGAACCGAGTCCACAGTATCTCCGAGATATGTGTGTACACTCTTCCCTTTATTCTGATTCTCAAAATTATGCATGCTCAGGGTAGAGAACATGGAAAGTATAGAAATGTATAAGAAAATAAGAAAAATCACTGATAACTGCAGCCCTCAGAAGCCCTCCTGCTGGCACCAGGCTGCCTCTGCTTCTTGAGCATCTCCACGCATACTCTTCACCTCACACGTTACCCACAACAGTGTTTTCCTTCTCACATCCTAGGCCAGCCTTCCTTCTGCCTCTTCCAAGTTCAAATGTAATAAAGGAGTGTAAAAGATTCCCCCCCCACCAAACTTTTTATTGTGAGTTTCTAGAGATAGTGTGTAAATTGTATGTAGTGTGTATTTGAAAGTAAGTCACAGACATGACACTCAGCCCCTAAATATTTCAGCATGCCTCCTAAAAAATTTTAGACGCCTACCTGATTACGATATGATTATCACACCTAAGAAGAGTAATAAATTCTTTACATTATCTGATATGCAAATGATCTTCCATTTCCCTAGTTCTCCCTATGTCTTATAAGGCTTATTTTTTGGAACCAGGGTCAATCAGGAGTCATCTCTGCATTTATTCATATGTTTCTTTCATCTTTGGTAACATTTTCAACATTAGCATGAGTCAAACCGGCCTGGCTTTAGAAATATGTAGTAAATTTCTCCAGTCCACACGTAGAAAGGATAATGTGCAGGACCTGTGAATCAGCCCTGCCACCTGCAACTTCATGTTGACTTCCCCTTCTTTGTGAAATGCTCCACAAATTCAAGCTTTTCCTCCCTCTTTCGGCTAAGGTTCGGCTACTTCTGGAGTCCTGGGGACAGAGCTAAGCAATACCCACTTGCTATTGTCAGGCCTAAACATAAATGGTTAAAGATGTGGTAAAAATAGCAAGAGACAGGAAAAAAAATAGAAAGCATTCTCTAGGGGCCTGTTGACAAGGGCTGCCTGCCCAGCCTACTCTGGCCGCCCCTCAGTACTGTCCACACGGAGTCTGGTTCAGTGGCCCAGGCTCAGGTCTCCCCAAGTGTTAAGGGGTGATGGGTTTTCTGGTCTAACACGTAGTGGCAGAGGCGTCTGTGCCAGACAACAGCAGCTCATGGGCTCCAGCTCCATTGGACCCAGGGGTGCCATTTTTCAGAGTTCAGGTGGCCCCTGCACAAGAAGCAGAAGGATGAGCACGCTGACTGGCTAGAAGCGGTCGCTGGGATGTTGTCCTCTTTCCGTGAAGGCCAGGCCACAACTGGACGCTGACGTGCAGCTGAGGCTTCGTCCCAGGACTGCGCGTGGTTTTGCTCTGGCCCATCCGTGTTGCCTTACTGAAGGCCCAGGGGCTTTGTTTGTTTGTTTTGTTTTGACTTGGGTTTTTTCGCCCGTACCGTGTGGCTTGTGGGATCTTAGTTCACCAACCAGGGATTGAACCCAGGCCCTCAGCAGTGAAAGCATGGAGTCTAATCACTGGACTGCCAGGGAATTACCAAAAGGCCCAGGTTTTAATGTCTCAGATACTTAGGGTTAAAAATGAAGCCTGCGACCACAAGGCCAGTCAGTGGCTCACGGGATCGATCACGAGAATGATGGGAATATGGGAGAAAATGCCAGGGAAAGCGCAGTGCCCGTAGACCCCACATCCATCTGCCTCGTGTCCCCCGCTGCAGGCTCCCTATGTGCTTCGTCTGTTGGAGGTTCTCTCCTCCCCCTTCACCCAAACTCCTACTCAGCGCTTCAGTCTCAGCTTGCCTGTCCCATCTTCAAGCCCTCCCTGCCCTTGGCTCAGGCTGGACCCCTGCCCATGCTGCTGCCCACCTGCCCGCCGGCACCCACGGACAAGGGCCTGCTTCATGCTCCTCTTCAGTCCACTAGAGAGGTGGCCCTGGGGAGAGACCTGGGGATGGCACTGAGATCATGCTGGCTTGTTCCCCCGTCCCACTGGCCCTTTGCCATTCTCTCCTTGAGTACTGACAGTCCGGGCGGTCTGTGGGCCTTGACACAGGTGACTGAGACCATTACTTTTTCAAATTGCTCAGTGGAACCTTCTTGCTCTGCGTGCTTAATCCCTTCCACTTACTGAGGGAGTGTCCGGAGAGAGCAGGGACTGTCCCCAGGTCACACAGCTTATCAGGAGCAGAGCTAGAAACCCTGTCTGCATCCCGGCCTCTTGACTACCTCCCGGGCCCCCTGTGGAGGGGTGGGAAGCGGGTCTGGGCTTCTTGCTGGAGCCGCAGTCCGGGGAGGACTCATTCAGGGGAGCGGCTGTACCACAAGACCCCGCGCACGGGACCACGCTACCTTGGCCCCCGGGAGCCGTGGAGCTCAGGGTCTGTTGACACAACACAAACCATTTCTCTCTCCAGGGCCCCAAAGTCACCAGATGCTCCAGAGGCTCAGTCGGAGGAGGAAGTAGACGAGCTGTCCCTCATTGACCACAATGAAATTATGGCAAGGCTGACGCTCAAGCAAGAGGTGGGCTCCTCACAGGCCTTCGTGTGCAGGGTCTGGCCCAGAAAGAGGGTGGGGGGCTTTGAGCAGGGAACCTGGAGGTGTCCCAAACAGAAAGGCCCAAGCCGAGTGCTGACCCCCCCAGGTGGCCCTCCTGGGCGGCGGGCTCTGGCATCCCGTTCGTCCTGGCCCCATGCCTGGGCCACCGTGGGTGCTCTAAGACCCTGGGCACATGGGTGACTTCCAGGAGGAAGTGTGCCGTCCCCTTCTCTGACACCTCTGGAGAGTGATCTTGGGCAAGTGACATGTCCTCTCTAAGCCCCAGATGACAGGACTCTGGAGGGTGTTGTGAGAACGAAATCCACGAGGGTGCTCAGCACGGAGCCCGTGTGTGGTAAGCCCTCGCTAGTGCAAGGTATTTTTATGTTGTTAATGACAGAATGACCCCAGTGTAGTGTCAGCGTGGGAAGCACAGCTAATTAAGAAATTCCAGGCCTGGCCACCGAGGCTGCCTCCATCCCATGTCTTGTCAGGAGAGCCTCATGGGTAAACGTGGTGCCCGAACCCGGCACAGTAAGAGGAGCTGACCTGAGAGGGCCTCCCGCCCCCTGCTGCCGAGCGGTTCTGGGGACACGGAGGAATGGCTCCCAGCGGTAGCCTTGACCCCAGCCGAGGAGGCGGCCGTGCTCTACACACACACGTGGCTAGGCTGCAGCAGAGAGGAACCGGGAAGGCAGGGCTGGCTCCTCTGCAGAGAGAATGATGTTTCGTGACTCTTGCCAGAAATTTCTTCTGAGAAATCAGGTCCTGGGCGGAGCTGCCCTGTCTTAGCTGGAAATCCAAGACACTTCCAGCGTAAAAACCTTGAAGCTTTGGAGAGGCAGATCCATCTCCAAGAGCTAGAGACACGAGGAAGCTCTCGCGGGGCGTGGTCTCCTTCGGAATTACAGCGTATGGGGCCGGTGGCTGCAGGCCAGGCTTATGGGTTAAGGCCTCAGTTTGCTCATGTGAAAATAAGACTTTTCCCTTAACTGGCAGGCCACGGTCAGTGTAAGCAACATCGGATATAATTGAGCATCTTTGTGACACTTTTCACTCCTCTAAGGAGGGCTCCCTGGAAGAACATGTGATGTGACAAGTGATTCCCTCCACCTGAGGAAGCAGGTTTAGATTTAGGGCAGCTTGCTGCAGTTTTGCGAACATGCGCATACCTGGAAGTGGTCTGCCGCCTCCACCATCATCCTGGGAAGGGCTGGTGCCAGTCCTGCCTGCCTCCCCGTCGGCTCCCTCCGTCCCCTCTTCTGCCCTGAGCCGCGGGTTGGTGAACAGGGAAAGACTGACTGGAGCCATGCCCCCCTGAGCCAGTGGTGACCTCAGAGCGCTGTGCCACGCGGTGGGCGGGCTGGATGGGCGCACCTGGCCTCTGCAGCCCGGCCACGCTGCTCCCGGAGTGAGGGAGGGCAGGGCAGGGCAGAGAGGACCTGGCGTCTCTGCAACACCGTGTCTTTGTCATCTCGTCCCTGCTTGTGACTCCCTAAGCGGACTTTCTTACGGCTGCGTTCTGCTCCACGCCCTCCTTTGCTGTGGTTTTGCAGGGCGACGACGGACCAGACGTCCGGGGAGGATCTGGTGACATCCTACTGGTCCACGCTACTGAGACGGACAGGAAAGGTACGGCAGCGCCGGCCGCGGCGGCCTCTGTGCCCGAGCTCCCCGGAGGGGGCTGGTCCCGCTGAACCGAGACGTTGCTCGGCTCCACTGCCCTGCCCTCTCCTCTCCTCCAGCCCTGAGCGGGTCAGAACAGCAGTCCTGGTGCTGCTGGGTCACCGTAGGGAGTGCCGACGTGGGGGACAGGTGACCTGCATTCAGAGCCAGACCCTCCGCTCCCCAACCCCCTCAGAGCATGTCCTCTGGTGGTGCAGGGTAGTGAGGACCCCAGGATCATCAAGGGGCAAGTTTCAGGTGCAGAGCCCGGCACCTGGTAGGTGCTCCACAGACGGTACCTTGAGTAGCGACATGTTCAACGATAGTGCTAAGATTACGTTGATGTGCGGGTAGCTTTTTACGCTTTTCCTGATATTTTGCCCATTATATTATTCCAGACCGCTGGATTGGGTTTCCTTTATTCCTCCTCTGGGAGCTTCCTGGGGCAAAGGTCCTGTCAGGAGCATCCAGTCTTCCAGCAGCGTTACCTGCACAGGACGGGGTTCCCCACTCTCAGCGCAGAGGCACCCCTTCACGTCCTGATCCTTCGAGAGGGCTGGAAAAGCAGGGCCTGTTTTCTGTTGGGTGGACTCTCCTAGCAAAGGAGCTGTCCTTGCAAGTTGTGTTCTGGAAGGAGGAGGAAAAGGAGGGTCTGTAAGGCCGGTGCCGTGACCTTGGTCAGGCGGGAGGGGCCTGCAGTGCACACGCCCCACAGCTGGGCCCGGCCTCTCCCCCCACACACTTCCTTTTTACATTTTTTAAATTATTAAAAAGATGGTGGAACAGCAATGGTAAAGTAAGGTGTGTAGGAATTAAAACACCCCAGTCATGAAACCCTAACCCACTAATTTCATTTCTGTAAACAACCTGGTCCCTATGTTTTTACAGCAGATTTCCCAAAGTATGTTACACAGATGATTCTGGGAATTTTTAAATTATGAAAGTAGTACAAAAATAATTGTTTGCATTGCTGAAAATTTGAAAATTAGAGAAAAAGAAGAAATGGCTCCCACAAACTCACCACAGCCACGCTTTTGCTCTCCGGGTTTCTTCTGACCCAGGCAGAGTGCGGTCCTGGACACTGAGTTTGAATCCTGGCCGTGCGTTCTCAGGCTGGGCCGCTGCTGGGCACGTCCCTTCTCGGCCTCAGCTGACTCAACTTTGTGAAGAGGTTCAAAGTGCCCAGTGGGTGTGAAGACTGAGCGAGTTGGCACATAGGAAGTGCTCGGGGAGTATCTGTTTACATCCCTAGGAACAGCCCGTGCTCTGCCTTCTTCAGTAAACCCTCCTCCGTGCCGGACAGGTCAGAGCTCCATCCTCAGCCTGGCATGAGAAACAGCTCTCATTTTTGTCCGGTAGTGAAAGGCTGAAGTGGGAGCTGGCCCCAGTCCTCAGCCCTGAGCAGTGAACTGCTGACCTGCTAGGTGCAGCCGGCTGCGGCCCCGGCCAGAGGGAGCCCTGCAGGCAGGGCAACCCGAGGACCTTCCAGTCGGTGCCGACCAATGCCTGGGAGAGGAGGCTCTGCTGCCCGCTGGGGCTTCCGCTCGGTTTTATCAGTGGAAAGATGTTGAGGCTGCAGTCATTTGTCCCTGGGATGGGCGGTTGAGGCAGAGGCCCTGGGCCACACAGCAAGCTCCTTGGGCAGGCGGCTTCCTGCAGACCAGAGACCACACCAGTGGCTGGGAGACCCCATGGCTCAGGGGGTGCAGCCTTGGACCCCTTCTTCCAGTGGGCCTTGCCCTCCCCTGGACCCATCTCTGCTTCCTTGCCCCTCTTTGAACAGAAGCCCAGATTTGACAGTGAGCTAGGTGGGCTTGGGGTCCAGGAAGGAGCCTGCACCTCCAGTCCGTAAGCTTCCCTCACGGCACCGCACCGCCAGCCAGATCACCCAAGCACACCCCAGGTGCACGTGCAGGTGTTTCTTCTCCTCTCGTTGTCCAGGGTGTGAGCAGCAGGGGCGGGGGACAGGAGCCGGGCTCTGCAGGGCGGGGCTGCCCAGCCGGAGAAGTGGGGTCCTTGAGGTTCCTCCACCCGATGAGTCGTGGGAGGAATGAGAGAAGACAGGGGAAGGTGGTCTGTGTCCAGAAAAGAACACTTAAGTAATGTGTGTGCATGTGCCCAGCTTCACGGTGAGGGCCACAGACTTTGGAGCCGAATCAGGACTCGAACCTCAGCTCCAGCACAGAATAACTCTGAAGTTCACAAGCCTGGCCAGGTCATTTGTCTCCAGGAGGGACTTGCATTTAAAACATGCCCCCCCTTTTTTCCTTAGTGTCGGAGGCTGCGTGGTTGGGAGGGTGTGTCATAGCCATAAATAAACAGGGCTCTGTTGTGAACGTGGAAAGGTTGGGAATCCCTGGCTAGAACCAGCCGCTGCAAAGGGAAGGAGAGGCGTTGGGTGGGAGCTGCCAGCCCTAATCCCACTTGACTTCCAGGCTGGCCTCCTCCCAGTGGGCCTTGCCCTCCCCTGACACCAGAGCCTGCACACCTGAGTGTCCAGCAGCGTGAGGCTGAGCCCCTTCGGCCTTTGCTTAGGTCTCTCGCTATGTGGAGATTCCCAAGGTTTTTGTTCCTGGGCTTCTGCCACCTGAAGTGTTCCCTGTGCCTTAGCTTCAGAGTCCCGATGATGAGTTTGAATGTGCTCTCTGTGTGATCAGAAGTGGCATGTGCTTGCAGCGGGTGTGCTGCCTGTCTGTGCCCTGTGCCGGTGGCAGGCCTCACTGACCAGCTGCCCTTCCCTCCAGATCTCGTGTTGTACTGCGAGGCCTTCTTGACCACCTACAGGACCTTCATCGCCCCTGAGGAGCTCATCAAGAAGCTGCGGTACAGATACCCTTGCCTGCGCCTCAGCCCCGGCGCCGCACCGCTCACTGCACAGGGCCTCCTGGAGCCGGGGGAGGGGCCTTCGTGCCCGCGCAGGGAGCTGCGGGCAGGAGTGATGGAGGTGCTCAGCCCAGCTCTGCCATGGCCCAGCTTTGGGACCTCAGGCAAGGCTTCTTTGAGCCTCATTCCTCGTCTGTAAAAGGGCTGAGTGATGTTATATGAAGTGCCTGGAACAGAGGGTGCCGCCTAATGGCAGTTGTGATCACTGGGTGATTCTGAGAAAGAATTAGAAAGAACTGGCACACACTGAGAGGGTGGGAGTGTGCGGGCCCCTGCGGAGACCCAGGTCACTGGCACCTGCGGCTTTGCGGAGCTGAGCCCCAGGGCATTAGGGGTGATGGGTACAAAGTGTGCAGGGTTTGAGGGAATCAGGAGTCCAGAGAACCACCTCAGGGGCAGTCACGGCCACTCCCCCAGATGGCAGACCCAGCAGTGTAGCACAGTCGCCTCCTCCCCCTCGACCACATCTACCCCACGGGCTCACCCTTTCAGATACGACTCCCCACAGTAGTGGCCAAGGAAGATCCCGAGGCCTGGAGGGATGCACGTTCATTGCCTCTTTCTCGGGTCCAAACCTGCCCATCCTGTCAAGGCTAAGGAGCTACTGTTGCAGCCCAGGGTCCCCGCCCCTCAGCGTCCTCCCTCGTCACAGCCCATGACTGCCATCTGCTGGACAGCCGTTGTCCCTTGGGGCAGAAGTCCTGAGCCCTCCCAGCTCTCCCACGCTCTCCCACTCCCTCCCGTGTGCCCACGCCTCCTCTGCCTCCTGTCCTTCTCTCTCCCCTGGCCCCCCCTCGGGGCCCTGGTCCCTCAGAACTGGACGGCCCCCAGGTGCAGAGACTTCGTTCCCTCCCGCCTCACACCTTCAGCGCCTCACAGGCCTCTGGCTCAGTGAATGACAGTGACTCACGCTTGTTGAGAACGGCCTGGTGTCGGTTATGATGCTGAGCGATTGCATGGGTAATCTCACTCCGCTCTACCATCTCATACACACGTCACTACCATTTGTTATGTGGCGCCAGGATATCATTTCCTACTGTGTAATTAAGGAAACTGAAGTTCAGAGAGGTTAAGTGACACGTATGGCAGCTTGGAGGGGGAGGGCCCCCCAGGCCTCTCTGACTCGGCATCCCAGCATCTGCCTGCCTGGCGCTCCAGGCGTGTTAGCGGATGTGTTGCAGCATCGAGATCCTGGGCGCAGCTGGCTGGTGGGTCCTGTGTGCTGCCGGCCCTCGGCGCTGTCCCTGATGCATGGCTCCTTCCTGAGAGCAGGCGCTATGGAGCCATAGAAGTGTCTGGAGACTTGATGAACACGAGGGCAGCCACGGCCTCAGGGAGGAAGTAGCCAGGTGTTTGAAGGGCAGGTGCGCAGGCAGCCTCTGAAGCTGTGGAAGGGTGATGGGAACTCGTGACGGGAGCGGAGGGAGACCCGTCTGGGGGGCTGTGCGCCTTCCCCAGGGACCCGGGGATCTTAGGGCAAGTGCTTTCTGACCACCTTTCTCTGCCTGAGCTCAGCGATGCAGCCTTCAGCGTTTCAGCGGTCACAGGAACCTTGGGTTGATCCCAGCAGAGAGGCAGGCCTGGGAGCGCAGGGAGGAGGTTCTGCAGGCAGGAGAGGTTGGTGGTCGAGAACGGGGTCAGAGAGGTCTGGGCTGAACCTCACTTTGCAGTTCCGCCACCCCGCACAGGTCCCCTGCCCTCCCCGTGCCCTCGTTCCCAGGGTTCGCTCAGGGAAGGGGGGCTGGGGGAGGGCGGCCCTCCCGCGCACTTCCCCGTCCCTACCCGTGAGGGTGGTTGTTTCTTTAACCTGCGCCCACGTACGAGAAGTTCTCTCCTTTTGCCGACACATTCAAGAAGCGCGTCAGCAAGAACACGTTCTTCGTGCTGGTACGGGTGGTGGACGAGCTCTGGTGAGTCCTTCCGCCCCGGGGGATGGAGGGCGGAGGGGCCCAGCAGGCCGCGGGCATCTTGGGGTCCCCGCCGGGGTACAGGCTTCCCCGCAGAGATCTGGGCCTCCCGTCACATTTCACCTGCATCTCCTGGGCTCTGTGCCCACAGAGCCCTGCCCAAGGCCCTGGACAGGGCTCACTCCTGCGCGCTTTAACACGACCCCTGGGGAGAATGGCTTGTCCCCTCAGACCCTCCCTGGCCCGGCCCTGATTTCCTTGTGGGGGCCATCCCTCTGGCACGTGGCTTAGACCTTGGCTGCCCTCCTCATCTTTCCACGGTCCCCTGAGTGGCATTTGCCCTTTCCAGTCATTGAACAAACATAAAGCACAAGGTCCCTTTCCTAGGTCTAGAGAGCCCTTGGTAAGGAAGCCACCCAGGCCCCGCCCTCAAGGTGTTTACCTTCTGCTGGGGGGTGGCCTTAGTGATTACGGGGTGGGGCTGTGAAACACTGCGTGTGGAGAATACTGTGCAGGGGCGTCCTGGGGGCTGTCTGTGGAGCCCAGACCTCGTCGTGATTCATCACCCCCGTGGGATCAGGAGCTCCCCTGGGGCAGGCTTCGTCTCCATAGCCCAGGCCGCAGCACGGTCCCTGGTGCTTATCCAGTGCCAGTGACCATTTGCTGAGAGAATGACAGTTATTTGTTACCAATGGGACCACTCCCGGCACTCTGTAGGATGCAGACAACCATCCCAAGACCTTCTCTGGCTCTCTTCCCACGAGAGGTTTCCCAGCTCTGCTGGTGGGTGTCTCAGGTGTCTTGAGGGGGTTCTAGACCCCGTGGCACCAGCCCTCTTCTTATGCTTGCATCCCTGCCCCTCACCGCATGGCCCTTGGCCCTTTAGCCTAGTGGAGTTGACGGAAGAGATCTTGAAGCTGCTGATGGAGCTGGTCTTTCGCCTGGTGTGCAACGGGGAGCTCAGTCTGGCCCGTGTGCTCCGGAAGAACATCCTGGACAAGGTGGACCAGAAGAAGCTGCTCAGGTGTGCCAACTCCGACCAGCCCCTGGCGGCCAGGGGCGTAGCAGCCAGGTGCGCCACCCGCCGTCCATCCTGGGCTTCTCCGGGCCCTGCCTCTGGCGAGAGCCATACCGGCAGCCGTCTCTCCATTCTATGTCCTTCAGTGCCCCCCTCCCCGCCCCCGGCCTCACAACCTCACCTCCCGGTTCTGCCCGGGCCCTGCGACGACGTGCCTCAGGGACAGCCCAGTGGTTCCCCTGGGGCTGGGCCTCTTCTCCAGGGTTACGTTGTATGACTGATCACCGTTTTAGTAGGAAGTGGGGCAGCAGGGCGTGTAGGGGCTTACCAGGACAGGGGACAGGAATGCCTTTCAGGCTGTGGTCAGCACTTAATTCTCTTCCCGGCGCTAACGTGGCAACTTAATTCTTGTCACCCCCTGTGCCATCCTGACCGTTCCTGAGAACCTGTGTATAGGCTCCACCTATGTAGAGGTTCCACTGGCCCTCTCCCGAGGCCATGGAGGTTTGTTGATTTATCACCTCTTTGTTGGTGTCTCAGCTCCATTCACATGGCACCATCTTTGTTCCCAATGGGCCCTGAAGGGGGGTCGGGCTGTGCGTTCTCAGGCAGCTGAGCTCGCGGGCCCGCGAGTGGAGCCACCGAGCCAGCCAGGCGGAGGCAGGGGGGAAGGTAGGCCCCGTGGTCCCAGGGAGACGAGTGCAGTCCGGTCCTGACCCGCCCCCAACCCGCTGCGTGGCCTCCGTGCTGCGGTGAAGCAAGTCGTGTTCCCTCAGCTCTGAGGCCTGAAGTGCAGCCCCCACCCAGCCCCCACCGTCCTGTCCACTGACCACTCATCTCGTGCCTCTGTCTTCCAGGCCCGGGACCTTGCATGACTTTCACAGCCATGAGATAGCTGAGCAGCTGACACTGCTGGATGCCGAGCTCTTTTATAAGATAGAGGTATGGCCACGCGTGGGGCTGGGGGAGGGCTGTGCCCGGCCCTGGTGAGTGCAGCTGCTTGTCCCCGAGTGAGAGAAGCCACTGCGTCACAGCAGAGCCAGCGGGCCTAGGTTCTATCCAGTCTGCCTGCTTTTTCAGATTCCTGAGGTTTTGCTTTGGGCAAAAGAGCAGAACGAGGAGAAGAGCCCCAACTTGACCCAGTTCACGGAGCACTTCAACAACATGTCCTACTGGTAAGAAAGGGCCTCAGTGCAGAGCACTTCTGGATGGGTGCCTGTGTGTCCTTCGCAGAGAGCGCCCATGGCAAGGACAAAGGGGTGCCCTTTCATTCCTCCCAGCTCCTTCTGGGGCCCTGTGGGCATTCGTTGTGAACCAGAGACAGGACAAGGGCAGGGACAGGACAGGGCGTGTCTTGCACGTTGGAAGGGGCCACCTGGGGCGGGGGGGGGGGGGGGGGGGGGGGGGGGGGTTGAGGAGGACTCAGCCAGGATTTATTAGTAATGTCTGCTATCTATGGCGGCAGAGGAGCGGGTGTTAAACTTGCCACCCTGCGCTGGTCGTTGCCAGTCTTCCCACTGCCAGGTGTGGCCTCGGGGCTGTCCTCACACTGACTCTGCCTGAAAGAGAAGTAGAGCAACGGAGTGGCTGTATTAATACTTTTATTTAGCCTTCAATTCTTAAAGCAAAGTGAAGCCCAAAAGTGCATTTATGTTGTAACGTACAGCAGGACTGTTGACTCTTAAAGACGCGACTCAAGGGTGTCCACAGCCTCTCGGCCTCAGTAGAGGATGGTTGGGTGTGGCGGCCAGTGGCAGTCTCATACTGACCCCCGGACACACACACAATCCATCCCCACCACCAGGGAAACGTCCGTTTTGAAGTGTTCTAAGGACTGCTCTTCGGAGAACTGGGTCCTCTCCCACCTGCCCTGCTTCTCTCTGCACCACAGGAAGCGTTTCACTCGTCAGCAGCACGTGCTTAGCGTGGCAGCCCAGCAGAGGACGAGGTGGTTTCCAGGGCAGACAAGCCGTGCAGCCCTGAGCATGGCCTCCAGCCCTGCCCCTTGCTGGGCGCTGGGGGCTCCAGACACACCCCCTGGGGCCTGCCTAGGAGGAGATGTGGGTGGAGCCCCTTCAGAGCCCCGGTGCTCAAGGTGGACTCGGTGCCGGTGCCCTTTAATGGGTCAGAAGAGGGGCACGTTCTCTGGGTGATGGGCGGTGGCCCCTGTGAAAGCACAGGGGGTCGAGGCCACCGTGAGGTCCTCGTGCAAGGCTGGCCTTTGGCTTTGGTTGCTGCTAAGTTTCTGAGAGGTGCCCTCCCTCATGGCCAGCAAGGTAGCCTCTTAGCCCACACGCCCACTCGTCTCCGAGCTAATCCTGAGTCCACACTCACTGAGCGTTTCCAGCCGCCGTGGTGCTCACGGTCAGCGCTCACCGGGAGAGTGTCCATCCACGCAGTCAGAGGTCCCAGCCACTGGATCTCTCTGTGGCCTCTTACCTATCCCTGGGGTGCCATGAGCTCCTTCAGAGCAGAGACGGGGGTACACCTGGTGCCTCGTGAGCCCGGGGCACTCCCTAGGCACGGGCTCCTGGCCGGCTGGTACAGGTGCCCCCGTCCCATTGCCACCAGAGGCCTGAAGAGAGACGGGTCAGCTCAACTGTCTCTTTCTCCCCTTGGTCCGTGCAGGGTTCGGTCAATCATCATGTTACAGGAAAAGGCCCAAGACAGGGAACGGCTGCTCTTGAAGTTCATCAAGATCATGAAGGTAACTGTGGGCACCCTCCCCAGAGCCCGCCACAGGAGCCCCTGCCTGCCCGCCCGCCAGCCCATCCCTACCCCCACCCTCTCTCTGCAGCACTTACGGAAGCTGAACAACTTCAACTCCTACCTGGCCATCCTCTCAGCGCTGGACTCGGCCCCTATCCGCAGGCTGGAGTGGCAGAAGCAGACCTCAGAGGTGGGCGGCTGGGAGGGCAGCCGGGAGGGCAGCTGTGGGACGCGAGGCCCGGCTGCGGTGGGACGAGCTCTGCCCCGCCCTGCCCTAGTTTCCTGTCTCTAATCTCCAGTCACTGGGCCCTGCGGGGCTTGGTGTTAGTGAGTGCCGGGGTTGTCACGTCACACCACATCCTGCTGCCTGTACCGCAGAACCGTGCCTGGGTCCCAGCTTCACCTTCTGCTTCCTGCCCTCGACCCGGGCTTCTAGAGGGGCTCCTTTGGGCGCGGGCCGCACTAGGCATTGGGATGTACTGTGAACAGGCTAGACCCGTTATTAGGTGGGGCTCTTCAGGGCAGGTACTACAGGGAGAAGGATGGGGATGGGGTGCTGAGCAAGCATGTGAACGAGGCGTCTGGGCCAGCCTGGGGGTCAGGGAGGCCCCCTAAGGAGGTATCGATCACACCATGACCCGAATAGGAGCTTCCTGGGAAGGGAGGGGAATTCCCATCAGAAGGGACAGAGGAGCAGGACAGAGGCCAGTGTGGCCACATCACAGTGTGGGGAGAATGGCTCTGCATCACAGGGGTCTTGGGGGGCCTGGCAAGGAACTGGACCCTTATCTTTGTGTGGGTGCTGTTCCTGGAAGAGAGACAAAGCCCACAGGGTTGAGTGTCGCCAGGGCTACCTGGGGGTCGTCTCGTGGGGCAACATAAAGGGACAGTTAAGAGACAGTAGTGTGTGGAGAAATGGGACATTCACACCAGCTGCTCCAGGAACACATAACAGGCCCTGAGGAGGCAGGGAAGGCTTCCTGGAAGAGGTGACACATCAAGGCGCGAGGCACGCAACAGGCGAAGGGGCAGGACAGGCAAAACCCCACCCACGCTGCGTGCAGGAGCAGCGAGCTCACCCGCCATCCCTAGTGGGCTCCGCCTTGAGTGCGGTGAGGCATGAAGGCAGGCTCGGGGCCGGGAGCGACATGGTCCAGTGTGTGCTTCTGCGGCTCAGGCGGGCTGCAGCGCTGAGCATAGCCAAGCAGGAGCCCAGCCTGAGGTCCACCACACGGGGCGCTGGCTGCTCAGAGACGCGGTTCTTTGTCAGCACCGCGGAAGGCCTGCCTGTGGCTGGGGCAGGGCGGGGTCTGGCTCTGGGTTGGTGGGGGGAGGGGCCGGGGCTCGGTGCCCCAGCGTTGGCACCGTGCTCACGGACTGCGCGTCCCTCCTGCCAGGGCCTGGCGGAGTACTGCACGCTGATTGACAGCTCATCCTCCTTCCGCGCCTACCGGGCCGCCCTCTCGGAGGTGGAGCCGCCGTGCATCCCATACCTGTGAGTACAGCCTCCCAACTGGGTTTGCCCCTCGTGTGCTCTGGGGAAGATACAGTGGGCCCCCAAAGAGAAGCCCTCGCTTAAAGGCTTCCAACCCAGACGTTTGTGCTTCTGTTTGAACTTTAAAAGTAAAACATGCTCCTTGTTAAACAACTTAGATGAAAGAGGGGCCCAGGGAAAATGGTTCAGTCTTCCCCACTGCCCGGTCCTCCCACGCCTCCTCTCTTCCCTCATCTGCCAGTGGGCTTGTTTAGGCGCACGTGTGGACAGCCGTGTAGCATCTCTCTTCCCCCACCAGCAGCAGCGTGCTATAGTCCAGCTGTCCCCAAGCTTAGCTGCACATCACAGCCACCGGAGGGCCCTCCTGTCACCCCAGGAACCCTGAGAGTACTTGGCGTGAGGCAGCTCAGGGAGCGTTTCCCCAGGTGTGGGCCACGGGCTAAATAGGTATCTCACCAAAAAGAATCCCATGTCACGTAAGCTTGGGAAATAGCAGAAAACATTGAAGCTAAACAGTTTTCTTTGTGCGGGACTCACCGGACCCCTTAATATGCTAGTGGACGGTGGGAATCTCCAGGAGGGACAGGAGACTCAGCGCTGTCCCAGGCTGAGCGTGCGGCGGCATGCCCCTGGCCTCCACGCCCCGAAGTGTACATCTTGCAGCCAACGGCCCTGCCGTGATTCCTAGCCTTCCTGCCCTGGCCAAGCACGACAGCCCTCCCCAGCCGGGCTGCTTGGGTGGGCGTGGCTGTGCCCCTCGGGCTGGGCTATCCCTGTGCAAGAACCGCCCCCACTCACCGCGGGGCTGCGCACCCTGTTTGATGACAGCATGTGACCCCCACCCCGCCCCTCAGGTTCGGGGTGGTGTCATTCTTTCCTGCTCATCTGTTACCTGTACCGCTCTGCTGGGCTGGGGCGGCTGTTGAAGAGGCTCCATAGCAGGTGGGCCTGAGCCCACTTTCCGGAGACCAGAACCTGAGTCGAATTCGCGCCGCCCCTCCCCGCAGACGCGCTTGCGGGTTTGGCAGCTGCTCGGGCTCCGGCTCGCCCATCAACCGATTACCTGCCAGGCCACCCTCCAGAGTCTAACCTGCTTCTCCGTCCTCCCAGGGGGCTCATCCTGCAGGACCTCACCTTCGTTCACCTAGGAAACCCAGACTATATTGACGGGAAGGTGAATTTTTCCAAACGGTGGCAACAGTTCAATATCCTGGACAGCATGCGGTGCTTCCAGCAGGCGTGAGTGCTGCCGCCCTGAGGGGCCGGGCGGGCAGGGCCTGCACCCAGAGCTGGCCGCCAGCTCGTCCTGCGCGATCCCGTGGGGGGAGGCTGGCGAGCCCTGGCCCTCCTGACTCCGGGGCAGTGGGGTCTCCCTGGGACCTCCTGCGGAGGGGAGCCTGGCTACAGGGTGCTGCTCCGGGAGCCGTTGCACAGAGCAGAGCACAGCTCTGGGGTGCAGCTCACGCTCTGCGCGCCAGCGTCACACGTGGACGCCCCTGCCCCGTGAGTCTGCTGAGGCGGCACATGTGGCACCTCCAAGGGGTCTTGGGGCTGTTTGGCCCACACTGGCTCTCACCGGCCACCCTCCTCCCTCCACCAGGCATTATGACATCCGGAGAAACGATGACATCATAAACTTCTTCAACGACTTCAGTGACCACCTGGCGGAGGAGGCGCTATGGGAACTCTCTCTGAAAATCAAACCCAGGAACATAACACGGAGGAAAACAGACCGGGAAGAGAAGACCTAGGAAGACCTAGGAGCAGGTGCCGCAAGCGAGGAGAACTCGAGAGGCTCAGAGCGCCGCTCCGAGGCCGGAAGGGACTTTGGACCTGTTACGTGGCGGTGGCACGTGTCCTGGCCTCAGAGCCACCAGGCCCATCCAGGCCGCTGCTGTGCCGGGCAGGCGTCCGGAGCCGCAGCAGCTTCCTGCCCCTCCTCCGCAGGAGCAGACCCCCGGCCCGGGGGAGCCAGCGGGCGGTCTCACTGCTGATTTGTGAACTGGGGGTTTGGGTTTCTGCTTTTGCTCCGTCTCTTCCGCTCTCCCTCTCTTCCCCTCCCCCCAAGCCTGGGAGCAGCGCAGGGACTTCAGCAGCAGCCCAGGAATGGTGGGAGTCTTCTGAATCTCCTGAAATGACAGATGAGTAGAGGCCCAAGGACCCTCGGGGCGGGGTCTGCTCTCCCCGTAACCTTCAGTTGGGTGGGCAGAAAGTAGAGGAGACCCGGGAAAGACTCCTTTCACTTTCCATGTCCTACTTTTTAAGTGGAGGATGGTGTAAGCGTCTCACCTGGCCCAGAAGGGACGGCAGGTGGCCTTTCAGCAGCCCTGGGGCTGGTGCTCCCGTCGTGGTCCTGGCCCGCCCTTGCTGGGTCACGAGCAGCAGCCGTGGCCATCGTGTTTTCGCCCCTTCACTTCCTCCGCCCCGTCCCACCGGCCCTCCCCATCCTCTGGCACCGTGGGAGCTGGGAAGCAGCAGCTGGAAAGGAAGGACTTGACCATCCAAGAAACACACTTTATCTGAGTTGGGGCCAGTAGCTCTTGGTGAGCTAACCCAGAGAGAGGGGAGGGGCATTTCTGTTGGGGGGAGGGCCGGCAGCCCCCTCCTCTGTTGCTTGCCGTGTGCCTTAAACTCCATCTCCTATCCGTCCCGCCCTGCGGGCTCCCCTCCTCCCTGGCGCTGAGCCTGGTGGGCCCAAAGGGGCCCCTCTTTGCTCATCAGACCTTCTGCCAGCCTGACCGGCTCTCCCGTGGGAAGGACAGGGTGTCCCTGAGAGGCAGGGGCCTGGCGCAGAGGCGCCCCCTGGGGTTGACGGCCATGGCTCACCTGCTGGCCGGCAGCGAGGCGCAGCGTCTTCAGAAGCAGGTGCTCTTTCCAGCCTCGCTCTCCAGAGCCAGCCCCACTGCTGAGGTGGACGAGCTGAGGGGAGGTCTGCAGGGGCTCTCCACGCCCCCTGGCCTCCGTGCCAGCCCGACGTGGGCCTGCGGGCAGGCTGCCATCAGAATGCGACGGCTGCCCCCAGGCCGCCCGCCTCCTGTTTTGTTCGTTTTACATAATTGAGAGCTCACTGCTCCTGGGTTTGGGACTTGGGCAGGCGAACACCAGGCTCAGCCCGGGCTTAGCCCAGTTTAAACAGAACAAAAGTAGAAAGCAACATCTGTTAAAGAAACAGCCACGTCACTTTGAGTCCTTCATGGGTCTTTGAACAGCTTTTATCAAGAAGCTGTTTGTCCTGTGCACAGAGGGGAGGAATCTGTGAAATGTCAGTTACGACCCCTCAGGCAGCGATCCTGCGGGCGGCAGCGGGCGGAACGCGTCACTTTATTATTTAAAGAGTGTGTGTATAGAGTCGCTGTTTATGAACAATATTGTGTGTGGGGTTGGGTTTTAGTTTGTTCCCGCTTTTTTAAGTCCTCTCATTTCAGTCTTTCCCTCCTTCCCATCTTCCTCCTGGCCTGGCCCTGCTCTGCTGCTGCTTTGTGCAGCCACTGTGCTCAGGGCCCATGGGCTGTGTGGACTGCGGTTCCCTGGGGCCTCCCTCCATAGGCGGGCAACTGTCGACGCCGCGCTTCCGCTTCAGGCTCAGCGTCCCAGCCGCGAGCTGGACGGGGCTCGGGGGCTTCACCGTCCCTCCATTCAGAACAGACCCTGCACCCACACCTCCCCTCCCTGCCGGGAGCCCTGGCTCTGAGCCGAGGCACTGGGCAGGCAGCGCAGGTGGACAAGGGGCCGGCGTGGCCAGGTGACCCTGCATGAGGACAGCAGGTGCAATGTGTGTTTTAACTTATTGGCTGACAGGCTTCCCTACCTTGACCTCATGGAGACACATTCTGGCTCTGGGAGTTGCCAGCCTGGCTGTGGTTTGTCTGTCTCAGGGGCCAGATCAGCTGTACGAATGAGTCTTTACAACAAAGACACCCTCGGGAGGATTCGTTCTCTGCAGAGGCAGTTCTCACCTGCAGGTGTGGGTGGATCAGGGCAAGGGCAGGCACGCACCAGGGCTGACTTTAAAGCCCGATTCTGAGCAGCGCCTCCCTCCCACGGCCCCGCGCCTCCCCAGTGTTACATTGTAATATATCCCCAACTAACCTGGCTGATGGTGGCATCTTCCTGCAGACATTTCAAACCTGTAACTTTTATATGAAAGGAAAATAAACACAGATGAAAGCCGCGGCCACCTGTGTACCACATGCCACGTGTGTCAAAGTGACAACTGAGCTGTCTCCTTTCTGTGGCCTCCTTGTGGCTGGGCGCCTGGCAGGTGTTGGGGGGGGTTCTTTTGTCCCCATCTCTGTGGTCCCTTCTCTGTTCCCCAGTTTCTCCATCTGGAAGTGGGGGTAAGGACAGCTCTACCTTATACAGTCTGTGAAGGCTCAGCAAGTTATACCTGGAACAGCATCTGGTGAGCTGTCGCCACTATTATTAGCATATATTGAGTACCGGGCACTTTGCAGGCAGCTCTACCTCACTGAAGCCTCTTAATTGAAAAATGATACAAGTGAAATACTGCAACCATAATAAGTACTACAAAGAAGAGGTACTTAACATTAAAGAAATTAAGTTGGATTTGAAATCCACTCACAAACATCAGGTCCAGACAGGCTTAACAGGTAATTTATGCTAAACAGGTAGCTTCAGTCTTAGACGAATGCCCCTGAGAACAGAAGGGAAACACTTCTCAACTTGTTTTATGAGTGGAATACAACCTTGACACCAAATCCAGACAAGGACAAGAAGGAAAATTATAGGCAAAATTACTGATGCAAAAATTATAATCTTAGCAACCCCAAACCAGCAATAACGTAAAACTCAAGACTCCCCATTGGGCACATCCTCAAATGCAAGGATGGAGTGATGATAGTACTTGATCCCTTTTCTTAGACCCTTATTTGGGCATTCCCATCTGGTACGCCTTTCCTTCCTGGGGAACCGAGAACAGGTGTGCCACCTCCATGTGTACTTTCTCCACCATGGCATACTTAGATTCCAGGTGTTGAGATGGCAGAGCCCTAACTGGAGGGAGCCCAGTCCGGGACTACTCCCACTGTTCCATACTGGGCTTTACACGAATGAAAAATGAATTTGCACTTACTAATAAGCTGCTGAGATTTCAGGGCTTTTAAGTTTTCACAACATGGCCTAGCCTCTCCTGAATAAAATACATTAACAGATTAAAGGAAGAACACCATATAATCACCTCAGTAGTCAGAAAGACCACTGTTAAAAAATTAAAACCCCCATTCATCATTTTTATTTAAAAAATAACTAACAGTCTTAGGTAAGTAGAAATCAAAAACTTCCTTAATCTAATAAATGTTACTTTCTAAAATCTCATGCAAACGTTATACTTAATGATGAAATATTTAAAGAAGTTCCTTTAAAATAGAACAAGGTAAGGATCCCACTGTCACCTTGTCTTTCACTGTCGTACTGGAGATACTAGCCAATGCAACAAGAAAAGAGATTAGTAAGAAAATCACGATAGTTAACAACGAACTACTAGAAAACATAATTCTTCAAATATCCAGTTTATACTAACATCACAATTCTTAAGGTACTAGGAATAAACCCAATAAGAGATGTATAAGACCTTATAGGAAAAAGGGTGATCCAGCAAGAGAAAATAACGTGTAAATATTTACACACCCAAATGCGAGCAACCTAAATATACGAAGCAAATAGTAACAGACTTAAAGGGAGAATAAACAGCAATACAGTAATAGTAGGGAACTTTAATACCCCACTTACATCAATGGATAGATCATCCAGACAGAAAATCAATAAGCAAACGTTGGCCTTAAACACATTAGACCAGACGGACTTAAAGATACATACAGAGCATTCCATCCGAAAGCAACAGAGTACACTCTTCTAAGAGCACATGGAACATGCTCCAGCATAAGTAACATGTTAGACCGCAGGTCGTTGTAAACGTACGAAGGTTGAAATTATATCAAGCATCTTAGCCAGTCACAATGGTACGAAACTATAGAAATTACAAGAAAATGGGAAAATCCAAAAATACATGGAGATTAAACAGTATACTACTGAGCAACTAATAGGTCAAAGAAGAAAATAAAAAATACATTAAGACAAATGAAAATGGAAATACAACATATCAAAACTTACCGGATGCAGCAAGAGCAGTTCTAAAAGGGAAATTCATAATAATAAACACCTAAATCAAGAAACAAAAAGCTCAAATAAACACTCTAAATTTCAAGGAACTAGAACAAATGAAACCCAAAGTTAGTAGAAGGAAGGAAATAAAGGATTAGAGTGGAAATAAACAAAATACAGACTAAAAAGACAATAGAAAAGATCAATGAAAGAGCTGGTTCTTTGAAAAGATAAAATGGACAAACCTTTAGCTAAACTCACCAAGAAAAAAAGAGTACTCAAAATCAGAAATGAAAGAGGAGCTATTACAACTGATACCACAGAAATACAAAGGCTCCTAAGAGACTTCTGTGAACAATTATATGTCAACAAATTTGACAACCTAGAAGACACAGATAAAAACCTAGAAGACACAGATAAATACCTAGATACATACAACCTACCAACACTGAATCATGAAATAAATCTGAACAGACCGATTACTAGTAAGGAGATTGAATCAGTAATCAAAAACCTCTCAACAAACAAAAGTCTGGGACTAGATGACCTCACTGGTGAATTCTACCAAACATTCAAAGAAGAAGTAATATCAGTTCTTCTCAAACTCTTCCAAAAACTAGAAGAGGAGGGAACACTTCCAAACACTTTTTTTAAAAAAAAAAAAAAAAAACAAGGCCAGGGGCTTCCCTGGTGGCACAGCGGTTGAGAGTCCGCCTGCCGATGCAGGGGACACGGGTTCGTGCCGTGGTTCGGGAAGATCCCACGTGCCGCGGAGCGGCTGGGCCTGTGAGCCATGGCCGCTGAGCCTGCGCATCCAGAACCTGTGCTCCGCAACGGGAGAGGCCACAACAGTGAGAGGCCCACATACCGAAAAAAAAAAAAAAAAAAAAAAAGGCCAGCATTACCCTGTCACCAAAAACAGATGAGAATGCCACAAGAAAAGAAAACTACAGGCCAATATCCCTGAGGAACGTAGATGCAAAAATCCTCAACAAAAAATATTAGCAAACAAAATTCAACAATACAATAAAAGGATCATACATCATTAGCAAGTTGGATCTACTCCAGAGATGTAAGGATGGGTCAACATCTACAAATCAATGTGATACACCACATTAACAAAATGAAGGATAAATACCAAAAGACCATCTCAATAGATATTGTAAAAGCATTTGATAAAATTCAACATCATTTATGATAAAAATCTCACAGCAAAATGGGTATAGAGGGAACATACCTCAACATAATAAAAGCCATATATGACAAGCCCACAGCTAACACCATAGTGGTGAAAAGCTGAAAGCTTTTCCTTAGAGATCAGAACAAGACAGACACTGGAAAAAAAAAATAAAGAAATAAAAAAATAAATTCCCTGGCAGTCCAGTGGTTGGGACTCAGTGCTTTCACTGCTGTGGCGGGGGTTTAATCCTTGGTCAGGGAACTAAGATCCCGCAAGCCACAAAGCGCAGCCAAAAAAAAAAAAAAAGACCAGGACAAGACAAGGATGCCCCCTGTCACAACTTTTATTCAACATAAGTATTAGAAATCCTAGCCAGAGCAGTTAGGCAAGAAAAAGAAACAAAAGGCATTCAAATTGAAAAGGAAGATATAAAACTGTTTGCAGATGACATGATATTATATATAGACAACACTTGACTCCATCAAAAACTATTAGAATAAACAAATTCAGTAAAGTTGCAGAATGCAAAATCGATGTACAAAAATGTTATCTATACACTATATACACTAATAGTATCTATACACTAATAGTGAATTATAAGAAATTAAGGGGGGCTTCCCTGGTGGCGCAGTGGTTGAGAGTCCGCCTGCCGATGCAGGGGACACGGATTCGTCCCCCGGTCCAGGAGGATCCCACATGCCGCAGAGCGGCTGGGCCCATGAGCCATGGCCACCGAGCCTGCACGTCCGGAGCCTGTGCTCCGCAACGGGAGAGGCCACCACAGTGAGAGGCCCACGCACCGCCAAAAAAAAAAAAAAAAGAAAGAAAAAGAAATTAAGGGACTTCCCTGGTGGCGCAGTGGTTAAGAATCCACCTGCCAATGCAGGGGACATGGGTTCGATCCCTGGTCCTGGAAGATCCCACATGCCGTGGAGCAGCTAAGCCCATGCACCACAACTACTCTATAGAGTCCGCAAGCCATGACTACTGAAGCCCGTGTGCCTAGAGCCTGTGCTCTGCAACAAGAGAAACCACCACAATGAGAAGCCCACACACCGCAATGAAGAGTAGCCCCCACTCGCCACAGCTAGAGAAAGCCCACACGCAGCAACGAAGACCCAATTCAGCCAAAAAAAAGTTAAAAAATAAAAAAAAAAAAAAAACAAAAAAAAAAAAAAAAAAAAAAGAAAGAAAACCATCTCATTTATAATATACAATTTAAAATTGCATCAAAAAGAAGAGAATACCTAGGAATAAATTTAACCAAGGAGGTGAATGACCCGTACACTAAAAATTTTAAGACATTAGTGAAAGAAATTGAAGAAGACAAATAAATAGATATTCTGTGCTCATGGATTGGAAGAGCTAACGTTGTTAAAATGTCCATACTACCCCAAAGCAATCTACAGATTCAATGCAATTCCTATCAAAATTCCAATGGCATTTTTCACAGAAATAGGAGAAATAATCCTAAGATTTGTGTGGAACCACAAAAGACCTTGAATAGCCAAAGCAATCTTGAGAGAGAAGAACAAAGCTGGAGCCATCATGCTCCCTGGTATCAAACTATATTACAAAGCTATAGTAATCAAAACAGTATGGTATTCGCATAAAAACAGATACATAGATCAATGAAACAGAAGAGCCCAGAAGTAGATCGACACATATATCGTCAATTTATGGCAAAGGAGCCAAGAATACACAATGGGGAAAGGACAGTCTCTTCAATAAATGGTGTTGGGAAAACCACTATCTTACACCATACCCCAAAATTGACTCAACATGGATTAAAGACTTGCACGTAAGACCTGAAACCATAAAACTCCCGAAAGAAAACACAGGCAATAAGCTCTTTGACATCAGTCTTGACAATGATTTTTTAGATTTGAAGCCAAAAGCAAAGGCAACAA